TTCTATTCTATTCTATTCTATTCTATTCTATTCTATTCTATTCTATTCTATTCTGAATTGGTCTGAACTGGTAGAATCCCACCCCTGAGTCTACACATTTGGTATCTGAGCTTCAGATTAATGTTCACACTTGAAGCAATTGATTGTCCAGACAATATATGTAACTAATTAATTTATACTCCATTAAATGATTTCGGAGGATGCAATGGAGAGCATGGCCTTAGCAGAAGGACTCATATCTGCACATACCTGCACATCAGAAGTGGCATGCATTGCCCTCTCTATGGGCACATGAGCCATCACCCCAGCTCAGCTCTTCCACACATGTGTGCGTACTTCCCACCAGGCAGCTAGTCTTTGGGTGTCTGCCGTGCATGTGCACGAGGTTGGGCACATGCATGTGGATGCGCATGCCTGAGTGGGGACACACCAACATCACATTTCTGGGAGATACTCATGTGTTTTGGGCACTTGGTGGCAAAAAGGTTAGCCATCACTGTCATATAGCATTGGCCATGGGCTCAGCTCATGTAGTTTAGCCCTTCACCTTCAGCCATTGCTGGTATTGTACTGATATAGCATCATCACTTGGTTCCCTATGTAAGAAACAGAAAATATCACCACTTCATGAAGGAGTCAGTAACAAGCTATTTTTTAGATTAATGCACCAGGGAATTTTGACTAGATCTTCTTTGTAACCAGGAAGACTGATAGTCGTCCACATTTTGAAAGACACAAGACATTTAACAGGGGCCTCCAATAGGATGCTCACTATATCATGATCTGGAATTAACTGTTCTAGAGTATCTAACCTTCATTGAGAAAAATGGCCTCATCCACATCAGACAGAATCAGAAAGAAGTATAATGGCCCATTGCCTAGTTCAAGAACATTGAATTTATTTCCCCACATTTTAAGCTTTAGAATCTCAAGAATAAGTTTGCAGACTAAAAAACAATCAGACTTCCCTGAATTGTTCCTTTCTTGGTTCTCAAATTAGGATTATTCTCCTGAGTCAAACAAAACTCTTTTCTCCAACTGCCCAGTTTTGCAGCAATGTTCATTCCCAATTCCCCTTCTCATTTTTAAAACCATGATTATTTATTCTCCTTTGGGATTTCCACCACTACAATTAATTGCCAATCAATGTGACAACCAATGGAATAGACAGCACCTGATAATCTGATTTGTAACTGCCTCCTTCAGTGAAGAGAGCAGAGGTTGGGTTAAAGCTGGGCAAATACTCTAGCAATCTAAAATTTGGAAGATAAAACTTCCAAATTTGGGGGCAAACTGGCCTTCCTCACTGTCATTGTGGTCTTCTGTTATCTCTGAGATTGAACTCTGTGCTGAAGAAAGAACTGTAGGAAGGATCTCTTGCAGGATATGTCAAATGTTGCTGCTGTTGCATGTACAGCTTTTTCTGCTTCAGCTTCTGTCTCAAATTCCCTGTGCCAGTATGCTGATGAAATGTCCATTTAAGGTGATAATAGAAGAAAAGGAATGGTTCAATTACTACAAACCAGGAGACTACTGGATTACTGGAATAATGTCTGGAGTCGCAGGTCGATTGTACCAATTTTCGTTTTCCAAGCCTCCAAACCACCAATTGAAAAGGTAATTGTCAGCACGACCATTACAGAAATCGTAGTTTTTACATTCAAGTTTAGAACAATTTACATTGAGTTTACAGCGGTTGTTCGTGCACCTATTATTGTGATTAAAATAGAAAAAGTCATTTACAGGTAAAACATTACTACATATAATATTTGTATGCAATACCTAGGTCTGACCACAAGAGACACAGTTCTAAATTATCCAAACCAAGAATTTTGAGCCTAAGCTGTTGTGTACAGAAGAGTGCAAGACTTTTCTCGTGAAATACTTCTGAATCTGCTCAATTGTACTGATGTCAGATATATGGTGGGGATTCCAAACAGTTGAACAATACTCTAAAATTGGTCTAGCATAAGTTTTTTTTTTTTTTTGAAAACAAGTTTTATTAATTTTTTAAAACACACAAATTATCATTATTCATTACATGTTTAAACCTTTTTCCATTGTAAATTTAACAAGTCAGATAAATTATGATTCTGTTTTAAACCATTTCCATATAATATACCAAAACCTCTTATTCAATTTCTCTTTACTTCTCTTTACTCTTATTCAATATCATTATTATTATTTCATCTGATTCTTTCTGACTTAGTTACCATTATTCTCATTCTATATTTCTACAAGTTTTTACCAATTCTCCCCCCAAAAAAGACATATACACACAACACACAAAACATAAAAAAAAATCTTTTTGGAAAGTAACTTGGACCCAGGTATTTCTCTCTTCATGGACTTCAATTATATTCATGCTCATCTTACATATCATTACTTATTTTATTTACCATTCTAACCCTTCTATATTAACTTCTCCACATATTTCACACTTCTTAATTCTACCTTAATTAATCATCTTAGTTTAAATCATTATATTTGTATCTTTTGTCCATTTTTTATCATCCCTTTGTCTCATCCCTTATGAAAAAAAAGAAAATCAGTTTCTCCTGAAATCATTAATCAGAGTATGATGCCTTTCTATCTCCCCCCTAAGTTAATCAAATTAATCTTTAAAATAATATCTAATACCCAATCAGATTTTGCTTGGTACATTCTATCTAACTAATACATCCAACACAATTAAGTGCCTAATTAGACAATAAATCCAAATATTAAAAAGAAATACTATAATAAAAATTTTATAATAACATCAATACCATAATTTTATTAAACTCTTTAATTAAAACAATATTCTAAACCTCTCCTATTATTAAGTTTTAAAGCCAATCATTTTTAAACATTTTAACATTTTAATCTCTTATCAACTCTTAAACCATTGCAATACTACCATCTCATCTTATGTACCTTGCAAAATCTTTTTTTTAAAAAAAAAAATTATACTTTATCCATTATCCATAAAAAATTCATTTTTTCCATTTAATTTCAAAACATTGTAGCTTTTCTCCACCTTTTCCCTTTCTTTCTTTTCCCAACAAACCTTTCTACCCACCCTTCTTCTAGCCTCTGCCTTACCGGCTTCCCTTCTCTGTCGTATTTCTTTTCCCCTTTGTTTACAATCATCATATTGGTTTTGCACTTTATTTTTCCCTTTCTTAAATGTTTTTTTGGATCTTAAGTCCTTAAATCCTTTAGTTTTCTTCTTTTCTCTTCTCTTCTTTTCTTTCTCTCTTCCTTTTTTCTGGATCAAATTCTGAGGTTCATTAAAGATGGCTCCTTCCTTTCTTTCTTGTTCCTCTGCTGTCTTCATCTGTTGTAATTTTTGTTGATAATTAGTAAGCGCCATTTCTAAGAAAAGGAAAGCTTCTTCCACACCATCTTTACCATTTTTTTTTGCTTGTTCATATTCTTTTCTTAGTTCCTCAACAGAAAGAGCCATTATAAATCTTTTCTTTTCTTTTCTCCTTCTTTCTTCTTACAACAACCAGAATATTCAAAAGAAAATAAAAAAGATAAAACAGTCCCAAAGTTATCAATCAGTCCAAACCAAGGCAGAGTTCTCACTTTCTCCTTCTGGGGTAATATCAATCAAAGAGAAAGAAAGTCCAAATCTGTTTAAAATCTTATTACAATATATTCTAGTCTTCAAATCCTTAAGGCATCTGCTCCAACAAATCTTAGCATACAAATATTTTCTTCTTAATCCTCTCTCTTCCCACTCATCGCTTAAAACCAATTTCCACCTAAAAAAATAGGTTTCTTAATATCCAGTTATTTATTCCGTAGGAAAAGAGGGAAAGCTATCCTTTCAGCACCTTCAAGCAGCCGCTTTTTTCCTCTTCTGGCAGGTATTATTCAGAGAATCATACTTTTCAGGAATTTTATTAAATATGTCTTAGAGTCCTAGGAGCCAAGAAAAACTTTCTCCTCTCAATCACTTTCTCCACTTCCTCCTACGCATTCTTACCCGGCTGCCAGCTTCTTTGTGGCGGCCATTACGGACCGCCGCTGCACTGTCCTGGGAAAAGGGAGTTCTGCCGGCCAGGGAGGGAGTCTGCAGCACCCCCAAACCCTTCTCCGGATCCCCCCTACTTCAGCTGCCCCTGCAGGGCAGCCTAGCTCCGTACCCGGCTGGGTCGGAGCCCCAAAAACGGCTAGCGCGGCAGGGATCGCGCAGCTTCGCAAATCCCTGCCGCTCGCGAAGCCGACAAACCGGAACTTTTTTTCTGGTCTAGCATAAGTTTTATAAGCCCTAATTAGCAATACAATGTTTCCAGAAAAAAAAGCCTCGCAAAATTAAGTTTACAACTTTTAATGCTTTTTTAGCAACGCTGTTACAGTGAGGTTTGGAGCATAAATCATCAGAGATATCTACACCTAGGTCCTTAACAAGGTGAGGGTCATTTGCTAGATCAATGCCACCTAGCTTATACTTGACATTCTGATTACATTTACCAATATGTAAGACAGAGCATCTATTAATTGAAATTTTAAGTTGCCAAATAGATGACCATTCAGACACATAGTCGTGATCACTTTGCACAACAACAGAATTATCTGTAGAATAGAATAATTTTATGACATTGGCAAAAAGAATGCAACTGCTCTTTAGTTGATCACGTAAATCATTGATATAAAGCAAAATGATGGAATTTATTATGTTGCAGTCAGAACACCTTCTATCATCTTCTGCCTTTCTTGTTGGCTGTTCATGAAGTCAACCAGAATTCAAGGCTCTTACCCAACATCACCCTGGGCTACAACATCTACCAGAACTTTTTCAGTGCAAGAATGACTTATGAGGCCATGCTGGATGTGCTGTCTACAGGACAGGAGAATGTCCCAAACTACAGATGTGGAAGACAAAAGAACCAGCTGGCAATGCTCGAAGAGATGGATTCTGAACTCTTTGATCATATGTCAAATGTCTTGAGCATCTATAAAATTCCACAGGTATAAAGCCAAATGAAATTAATTCTGTGTTATAAATTGTTCAGATTTGCCAGCACTTGTATATATTTCTCCAAATAAATTGAAAGTCAGAGAGTAAATATTTGAAGAGCTGAAATAATTTTTAATTCACAAAGTGTGTGTGTGTGTGTGTGTGTGTGTGTGTACATACATATGTATATAAGGTAAAGGTAAAGGTTCCCCTTGCAAATACGTGCTAGTCGTTTCATGCTCTAGGGGGCTCATCTCCAGTACAAAGCCAAAAAGCCAGCGCTGTCCGAAGACGTCTCCATGGTTGTGTGACCCTCATGACTAAACTCCGAAGGCATACGGAATGCTGTTACCTTCCCACCAAAGTGGTCCCTATTTTCTGCTTGTATTTTTACATGCTTTTGAACTGCTAGATTGGCAGAAGCTGGGACAGGTAATGGGAGCTCATTCTGTTACGTGGTGCTAAAGATTCAAACTGCCAAACTGCCGACCTTGCTTATCGACAAGCTCAGCGTCTTAGCCACTGAGCCAATGCATCCCCACACACGTGGGTGTGTGTGTGTGTGTGTGTGTGTGTGTACACACACACAGGCACACCCACGCATGTATCTATTATACACATATGCAGACACATAGATGTATGTATATGCTACATATACACACACATATGTGTATATTTATTGTATATGTATATGTGTTTCTGTGTCTGTGTATATGCATATGCTTTGTATATATGTGTGTATATATATACATATACATTCATTCGTATGTATGTATGTATGTATGTATGTATGTATATATGTATGTATATGTATGGTATTCAGCTTTGTTCAGGTATTTTCCCACATCATTATAGTGGTGCTTTTAAAGTTGTAGCAACGTTTCGGCAGAATCTCATCTGCCATCATCAGGCTTCTGTATTGTGTTCGTCTGTGAGTCAGACTTTCACAGCCATTTCAGTTTTAAATTTGGGGCTAGCCTACTGCTGTGCCAGAATGTTTTTTTTTCTTCATCCTTATTGGTTGGGAGTCTTGGTCTGTGTTTATTGGTCTTGGAGTTTGCTGTGTTCTGTTTGATTGGTGTTTCTAATATCTTCTGTCTGTTTTGTGGCTTTTTTTGTCTTGATTGGCTGGCAACATTGTGTTCCTGTATTGGAGGCTTTTAGTGCGGCTTGGCTCCGAGTAAATGGATGGCTATCATTTATTTGGAAGCTAGGTTTCATCTGGGTGCCTGGTTGGGGTATGTTTGAGCTGGAGGTATCAGGGGGGATCTGTTTGTGCCCAGGTGTTTGCCTGGCTTGTAGTGTGGATATTTTTTTGTTTGTGAGTGCAGGCTTCCAAATAATTGACAGTCTGGTGGAATCATCTCTTCTATTCATGCTTTCAGGTCTTTTTTCAATCTCTATGGCTTCTATGATAATTCTGTGGCTGAGGTTTTCAATGTGGCTAAGATTTTGGTGCCATTGAAGTCGATGCTATGACCTGTTGCTTTCATGTGTTGGACTAGTGAGGAAGTGTGTTCCAGCTATTTTACTGCATTTTTGTGTTCATCCAGGCAGGTACTTATTCTTCTATTGGTCTGTCCAATGTATGTGGCAGGGCATGATGCACAGGGGACTTCATATATGCCTTGGTTTTCCAGGTCAATTTTATCTTTGGGGTTTCTTAGGATGGCTGCTATTTTTCTGTCTGTTTTGAAGGCAGTCTTGATGTGATGCCTGTGTAGTATCTTACTAATTTTGTCTGTAGTACCTCTTATGTAGGGCAGGACAGCTGTTCCATAGGTCTGTTCATCTTCTAGGTCTCCATTATGTCTCAGTGTGTTTTTGTGGATCAAACCGGTGATTTTGCTTTTGTGGAAGCCGTTAGCTGTCAGTACTTTAGTCAGGGTGCATAGTTCATTCTTTATGTGTGTCTTGTCTGCCAGGTTCTGGCGATTAGTGTTTTGGCCACGGAGTTTATTTGTGCTGGGTGGTGGTGGGATTGGGCGTTGAGGTAGCGGTTGGTGTGTGTTTTCTTCTGGTATATGGTGTGTCCTAGTGTGCCATCTCTTTTTTTGTAGATTAGTACATCTAGGAATGGTAGTTGTTTATTTCCATTTCCATGGTGAACTTGATTTTGGGATGTGTGTTGTTTATGTGTGTTAGGAAATTGTTTCGGTTTTCTTTTTCATGGGGCCAAATCACAAATGTGTCATCGATGTATCTTAACCATAGTTTGGGTTTGTGGGTGGCATTAGCTAGGGCTCTGAGTTCGAATTCTTCCATGAACAGGTTTGCAATGACGGGTGACAGTGGTGATCCCATAGGGGCTCCTTCAATTTGCTTGTATCTTTGTCCTTTGTATATGAAATATGTGTTGGTTAAGCAGTGTTCTGCTAGTTCCATGAGGTGTTTAGCTGGTTGGTATTTATTTTTGATGATTTCAAGAGTTTCTTTTATTGGGACTTGAGTGAATAGTGAAACCACGTTGAAACTTACAAGCAGATCTTCTTGTTCCACATGTAGATCTTTGATCATTTTCAAGAAGTGGTATGAGTTTTGTACATGTGAAGCTGCTGCTTCAGCATGGGGCTGTAGCTGCTTTGCTAAGTGTTTAGCTAGGTTTTGTAGTGGTGCTCCTCTGGAGCTGACTATGGGTCTGAGAGGTATGCCTTCTTTGTGTATTTTTGGGAGGCCGTATAGTTTGGGGCATCTGGAAGATTTTTCTCTTGGGATAATCGTCTGTTGGATCTCTTTGCTCATGTGGCTGGTTATAATTTTCTTCTTGGTTATTTTTTCCAGATATGTGGTTGGGTCCGTGTTTATGGGGATATATATATATATATTCAAAACTCGAGAATCCATTAAATAAATGTGATCCGTCCCAGATTTGCCCAATGTATTTGCTCATCTAATGCACAGGTCACTAAATGCACATGAGGGATCTCAGGGTGGGGAAGGCCATGCAGAGCTGAGAGTTGGAAGAGGCCACCCAAAGTCTCCCCTGATACCTCATGCTCACTTACAATCCCTTGGGGCCCCCATAGTTCCTCCCCCCGCCACATCCTGCCCTGGGTCTCCACAGGCACTGGGTCTGGTTTCTTAGCCTCCTGGATTCACTTCCTTCCTGCATCCCATTGCCCATGGATTTCTTTTTTTTTTAATAAAAAGTTTTTTTTTATAACAACAACAAAAACAAACAAATAAAACCTTTCTCTTCAACAGTGTGTCAGTTGGGTACCTATATCTTTGTGCACATAGTAACATTCTCATACATATTTTAGTTGTATATGTTTATAATCATTCTAATCACATGTATCACTTGTTATATTATCCTTAACATTGTAATTATTGACTTTCAATGATATATTTCACATTCATTTTCTTACTCTATCTAACTCATTTGTTTATGGGTAATGATATACACTGCTCAAAAAAAAATAAAGGGAACACAAAAGTAAGACATCCTAGATCTGAATGAATGAAATATTCTTATTAAATATTTTGTTCATTACATAGTTGAATGTGCTGACAACAAAATCATACAAAAATTATCAATGGAAATCAAATTTAGCAACCCATGGAGGTCTGGATTTGGAGTTACACTCAAAATTAAAGTGGAAAAAAACACTACAGGCTGATCCAACTTTGATGTAATGTCCTTAAAACAAGTCAAAATGAGGCTCAGTAGTGTGTGTGGCCTCCACGTGCCTGTATGACCTCCCTACAACACCTGGGCATGCTCCTGATGAGGTGGAAGATGGTCTCCTGAGGGATCTCCTCCCACACCTGGACTAAAGCATCCCCCAACTCCTGGACAGCCTGTGGTGCAATGTGGCACTGGATAGAAGAGTAAGAAATTGAAATATGTAAGTACAGTATAATGCACTGCTCAAAAAAATAAAGGGAACACTTAAACAACACAATGTAACTCCAAGTCAATCACACTTCTGTGAAATCAAACTGTCCACTTAGGTAGCAACACTGATTGACAATCAATTTCACATGCTGTTGTGCAAATGGAATAGACAACAGGTGAAAAGCATAGGCAGTTCGCAAGACATCCCCATTTATAAAATAAATTCCAAATTTATAATAATCTTTTTCTTCTTGTTCTCTAATTGCCATTGTCAATCTACTCATTTCTGCACATTCCATTATTTTCTAAATTATTTCCTCATCCATAGGAATTTTCTCATTTTTCCAATTTTGTGCAAATACAATCCTAGCTGCTGTTAATACATTGATAATCAAATATGTTAACTCTTTATTGTAACCCTCAAGCAAAATTCTCAATAAAAATGTCTCTGGTTTTAAATCTATATGCTGTTTTATCATTTTCTCCAGCCACATGTGTATTCTAGTCCAATACTTTTTAGCTTCTGTGCATGTCCATCACATATGGTAGTATGATCCTGGTGACTTTTGACATTTCTGACTTATCTTTAAACATCTTAGCAATTCTCGTTGGGGGTAGATGCCACCTGTAAAACATCTTATACAAATTCTCTTTATAGGCCATCGACAGTTAATTTATAGTTTCTAGACCATAATATCTGCCATTTATCCAAGTCTATTCCATATCCAAAAGTTCCCCCCACACAATCATTGATTTTTTACTTGTTCTTCCTCTAATTTCACTCCTAATAAATAACCATATAATTTTTTGATCAACTTCTCTTCAGTGCCTGCTAGGATTTTATCCAATTCAGTCAATTCCTTATAAAACCCAGCCATCTTAATGTCTTTTTTATACCTTGTATGTATTTGCCAATATGAATACCAATTTATATTTATCTCTTGTAACTCCAATTCTTGCTTTGTTTTGAGTTCACCCTTTTCATTTAAAATTTCTTCATATCTAATAATGTATTCCTTTCTAAACAGCTGTGGGTATGTAAAAGCTTCTAATGTTGATAACCAGACTGGTATTTTCATATAATGATAGTCTCTTATTTTTTCCCATACTGTTAATAAAGCATTCCTAATGTAGTGTCTCCTAAAGTATCCATGTACCTTACTTTCTTTGTACCACAAAAATGCATGCCAGATCAATTGTAAATCAATATTTACAATCCATTCCTTCATCCACGTCAATATTGTTACCTGGTAATATAGTTCCCAATTGGGTAATCCAAAACCCCCTCTCACCCTTGCATCTTGTAGTAGTTTTATCTTAATTCTTGTCTTTTTCCCCTGCCAGATAAATTTCAACATCATTTTATTGAAATCTCCAAAGTTTTTTTTTTCAATCTTATTGGAATCGTCTGGAATAAGTATAATATTTTTGGCAATATATTCACTTTAATTGTTGCTATTCTATCTATTAAAGATAGTTGTAATTTTTTCCATTTTTCCAAGTCTATCGCAATCTGTTGTAGTAATCTCTCATAATTATCTTCTTTGAGTATTCCACATCTAGCTGTCATTTGTATCCCTAAATCCATTTTGATCTGAGTGTATAAAATAATTTAAATATATTTTTAGTCTTTCTGCCATTATAGAAGCAAATATTTTATAATCAGCATTAAGCAGGGATATTGGTCTATAATTTTTTATTTGTTGTGGGTCAGTATCTTCTTTTGGTATAAGTGTAACATATGGCTCTGTCCATGAGTCAGGTACTTTATTTTTTGTCAAAACCTCATTCAATACTTCCAACATTGTAGTAGAAATTACTTCCTTTATTGTCTTATAAAATTCAGCTGGTAGCCCATCCGAGCCAGGGGCTTTCCCCATATTTTGTCTATTTATTGCTTCTGTCGGTTCCATCATTGTTATTTTCTCATCTAACATGATCTTTACTTCATCAGGTATTCTCAGTAATTCTGCCCCTTGTAAATATTGCTGAACTTTGTTTTCTAATATTGCCTCTTGATCATATAGTTTCTCATAGTATCTCTGTACTATTTTTTCTTCTCTTCATTTTCATAACATAGCATGCCATTTTCATCTATTAATTGTGGTATTCTTTTTAATTCTTTGTCTTTCTTCAGCTTATATGTTAGCCATCTACCAGGTTTATTTGCATTTTCAAAATAGTTATGTTTGGTCCCTCTAATCTTTTGCGCCAGTTGTTCTTTTTCCATTAGTCCAATTTTGTGCTTAATTATATCCATTTGATTTTTGATATTTTTGTGCTGTGGATACCTTTGTAAATCCTTCTCCAGTTTCTTATGTTCTTGTTCTAAAGTTTGTTGTGTTTGTCTCTTTTTAATGTTCCTTCTTTTTGTATAGGTTACAATCACACCTCTGGTATATGCTTTCATAGTATCCCATACATTTTGTAATGAGGTTTCACTTGATTTATTTTCTTTAAGGAAAAACCCAATTCTTTTTCCAGGTTATTAAAAAAATATTTTTCTTTCAAAATTGAATTATTCAAAGTCCATCTTAATCTTTTCTTCTGTCCCTTCCATTTAAACCTTATTGGGTTATAGTCAGCCCAAATGATTGTGTCAGTGTTTGCTTCCTGAATGTTAGGTACTAAATCTGTTGACATCCAAATGATATCTATTCTTGACCATGATAGATGTCTATTTGAGTAAAATGTAAATTGTCTATTTTTACTATTCAATTCTCTCCATATATCTTTAATACTCAGCTCCCCCAATGATGTGAAGGGAGATTATATCCATGTTTAATTTTCCTAGTTTATGAAATATCTTTTTCCTTTTAATAGCCAAATTTAGTTCATTTATGTTTATAGAAATCAATTTCTTTTCCTCTTCCATTGTTTATACTTTATAGGTAGAATTTATTGCTCTTGTTGTTCTTTTTTGTCTTGGTTCTTTAATTATCATTTGACCACCTACTGCTCCCTCCTATTGAATCTTTCCCTTTCCTGCTTTCAACCATTGTCAATCTGTTATCTATTTCTCCTACTTTCTTATTTGTTTTATCACCTCTTTCTTCCATCTTCTGTATTTTTTCTCCATATATCATTAACACCTGTTGTATATCTCCTTCCATTCTTCCATTTTTTCCTCCAGCTTTTCCATTCTATCATCTGTATGCTTCTCTTGATCTTGTATTACTTGAAACATTGACTTTATTTCTTCCATTGAAATTTCTTTTTCTTTCTCTTGCTGAAGCATAATTGTAATAGATTATTGACTAGCTGGGCTCAGGGATGAGGAAGAAGGGATTGATGATCCAGTAGGAATTCTCTTACTCATATCAAATCAAATAGTAATTCATTCGCAAAAGCCCCCCAAACTTATAAATAAATCTTCAGGTTCTTTGCTACCTTAATCCAATTTTATCCAAAAGAAGAAAAGAAAACAAAGTTAGAAAATCCAAAAAGAAAAAGGCAAACTATAAATCCAAAAAAGAAATAGAGTCAAAATATATAAGATTCGGAAAGTCTAATATATGAAAAGGAAAAAAACAAAAGAGAAAATTTCCCCAAAAAGTAAAAAGAAAAGAAAATACAAATCCATCAACCGCTACATAGAAGAGGAGAGGAAAAGGGAGTAACAAAAAGAAAAAAACAGCAAAAAAATAAAAATAGGATCCAAAAATGCCAAATTATATTTACTTATTAATCCACTTGTTAGTCAAACTATCAATGAAGAAAAAAAAGAAAAAATGGAAAAGGAAAAAAAATAGAGAAAAAGAAAACAAACATTCCAAAATTAATCCACTTTGAAAAACTAGGCCAAAAAGTAAAACAACCCCCCCCCCCCCTGAAAAAAAAGAAAGGAAAAAGTAAATCCAACATACACTCCAGCAAAAATAGAATAAAGAACAAAATAAAAACAAAACAAAATAAAAAAGGAAGGTACCAGCTGTAATTTATGAATCCATGTCACTAAGTAAACCAAAGTCTCAGTGTAACATTCAGTCAGTCCAGAAAGCCAGAATCCAAAGCATATATATTATCCAAGGTCACAGTGTTCTTTCTCTTTCTTTTTCTTTATCTTATTCAACTTTCCAATTGTATACCAGCTATATAAATGCATCACCTGTTTTCAGTGCTGACTCATTATCTTTCTCCACTTCTCTGTAGTCAAAATAGCTTAATCTTTAGTCTATTATTCTAAAAAAAGGAAAAAAAATTCCCCTATGACCTCTAGATGTCAGTATTGCTTATCTTTCCTTGCACTTGTATCTTAGTTACACTGTATCTATGTATTCTAAACAGTGAAAGTGAATAAAAGTCAAAAGAACAAAGTACTTCAGAGATTTTAAACAAAAAAACAAAAAAAGTTCAATTTCTTCTTAATTTTTAAGTTCAGTCCAGTCCAGTTATTCAAAGTAAAGAAGCAAACAAAATATTCCTTTTAAAAAAAAAAGTCCGAATGAACTTGACAGCTTCCCGCCGTTTGTCACTGCCCTTAACTTTCCTGTCTTCTTTCTTTTTTAAATAAATCTTTCACTTGGTATACTTCTCTATCTTTTTTTAAAAAATAAGAATTTCTCACACATACCGACACACCTTCTTTCTATTCTTTTTCCATTCCGAGACTGGCACAGCTTCTTAGCGGCTCAAGATTAATGGCCGCTTTCTTCCGCTGCCGGACTGTAGGAGCTTTCCTACATCAACCAGGGACTTTGTGATGTCCCTGGGATCGACAGGATGCACACCTTTCACTTAACATCTCTACAGGACAGTTTGGGTCCACTGGGACCATCCAGCTGCGGGGGTATTGGTGTCTTCCTTGGAGCTCTGAGAAAAGCATATTTCCACTGCCGCTCAAGCCCACCCTCTCCCATTTCCCATTTCTGTTTCTTTGAAGATCTCCAGAGCTCCAGAAGAGACTGCTCCACTGGCAGAGAAGCTGAAGTGTCTTATTCAAATGATGGCAAAGCTATAAGAATGTGAAATCTAAGGAAAACACTTTCTTAGGGGAGACATGATAGCAGTGTTCCAATATCTCAAGGGCTGCCACAAAGAAGAGGGAGTCAAGCTATTCTCCAAAGCACCTGACAAGCAGCAATGGGTGGAAACCAATCAAGGAGAGAAGAAACCTAGAACTAAGGAGAAAATTCCTGACAGTCAGAACAATTAACCAGTGGGAGAACTTGCCGCCAGAAGTTGTGAATGCACCAACACTGGAAGCTTTTAAAAAGAGGTTGGATACCATTTGTCTGAAGTGGTGTAGGGTTTCCTGCCTAGGCAGGGGGTTGGACTAGAAGACCTCCAACTCTGTTATTCTAATTCAAGCAGTTATCATTTGAAACGTCTCTCAGCAGTGGGGGAAGGCCCTTAATTTACCATCTGACTTTCATCATTAAAACTGGCACAAACTACCAATACCTTCTCTTTTATCTTAGATCAACTACAGTGTCATCAACCAGGTGGCCAAGCAAAACCATCATTTTCCTTTTTCATATCGGATGACCCCAAACCAAGAACCTCCTTACTCAGCGATTGTCCAGCTGCTCCTGCAATTCCATTGGACGTGGATTGGCCTCCTTTCTCAGGACAATGAAAAGGGAGAAAAATTCAAAAGACGCTTGGAAGTTCTTGCCTTAAAAAATGGGATTTGCATTGTTCTCTCAGGAACTGTCCCAGAAGCAAATATGCAGACAAGTGCTGGAGATACTCTCATGCAAGAAAAAAGGAAAATGTTTCGTTCTCTTATTGAGAGTCAAATAAAAATTATAGTATGCCAACTGGATGTTCAGGCCTCGGGAATGTTAGCAGCAATAATACAAATAATTGATAGGACTAATACAACCCTGGTGGGAAGGGTGTGGATTGCAACAACTTTGACAGCTTTAAGTGTAAGTATTTTTGATCTTTGGGTTGATCTCCAAAACAGACATGCTTTGTTTTCCTTCCTCATCCAGACAAAAAGGAGGACTCAGTATTATGACTTTACATCTTATGCATCTATGGTTGTATTGTATGGAAAGGAAGCATTCCAATGTTCCTATTCAAGTCCTCTGTTATCGAAGAAAGTTTGGAAAAAATGCAGAGAAAAAGAGAATTGGGAATTCCCGCCCCATGATGTGATTGCAAGAATCCTGTCTCAGGATTCCTCCAGTATTTCCCAAATAATTCAAATTGTGGCCTGGGTCCTCAATGCTGCCTCTTCCTCCCAACAGAGTAAGAGGAGAATGCAAGTTGGATACCATCAACCACCCCAGATTGTACAGCCATGGCAGGTAAGTCTTCTCCTTTGAGGTTCCATTGATTCTCCCCTTCCAATTTCTCAATATTAAATTAGATGTAGAAAGGGTGAGATATTCCAAAGAGCAGTTGCCCAGTTAGTGGTATTTGAGAGTGAGTGTCAAGCTTGAAGTTGACCTAACAGAGGCCATTTTGATGCTTCAATGTTGCCACCCTGGAGCTGAGGGAAAGGGAGGGAAGAATAAAGATAGCTGGGGTTTTCTAGCCAAAACAAAATATTTTCTCCTGGGAATAAAGGGCATTCCCACTGATGATTGGAGGGAGGATGAGTGAAGTCACCAAGCAACCGGATGACACCTTTGTGGACCACGTGACTGATTGTTTGGAAAGGGGAAGAAAACTTTTATTTTTAATTAAGTGAAAACCATGGGAACATTTAAAGTCAGTTTTCACCAGCATATGCTTCTTGTCAGGATTCCAGCAGTTACCTCCATCTAAATCACATCTCTCGAGCCTAACTTCCAAAACTTAAAAAGGATTTATTGGGAGTTAAAATGCCGGCGCTGCCTGAGTGTAGCTGAGTCTAGGACACATAATTCATTGTCACCGTTGACCCTGGTTTTCCCCCCAACACCTGGGTGTATTGTAATTCATATTCTCCAATGGGACACATCCATAGCCAAGAGTCATCAATCATAGGCTCTAGTTAGAATTTTGCATGGCAGAAACTTCAGTCACCTAGTTCCTACCTTTGAAAATATTTATGGAATGCAGTTTCGGTTTTGCAAGCTGCTGCACTGCTTCACCCTTCCTTTCTGTTGGCAACTCTAAAAAGACCATAGAAATATTTTATGAGTTGACACCTATATGATATGTCCAATAAAACTGATATTTGAGGAACGTACTTGCCTCAGGGTCCTATTTGCTACGGGCATATTACTTGAAATCCTGACATTAAACCAACTCTAAATGTTTATAGGACTGAAGTTCATAGGACCTTTCCCCATAGTGAAAATGATCAACCCTGTTACAGTACAACTTAGACTCCCTTGCTTGTTAGGCAAAGTGCATCCAGTTTTTCACAGCAGCTTGTTAAAGCCGGTGGTAGGCTCCCATATCAGGCCACTAGATACAGCAGCTCCAAATCCAATAGTGGTGCAAGGAGAAATACATTATAAGGTAAAGAAAATCCTAGATTCTAGATTACATAGGGGTTGCTTACAGTACCTAGTGCGATGGAAGGAGTACCCACTATCCAAGACTACCTGGGTCAAGAGCTAGGATGTAAAGGCAGGGTGGTTAAACAGTTCCACGATGAGTACCCCCCCCCCAAAGCCTTAGGCGGTGGAAGAAGAGATTAATGTGAACCTCCAGGGTGTAGAAGGGGAAGTTAGTGTGAACTTTGAGTAACCTCTCTTTATTTTATTTCCTTTGCAAGAGGTCCTCTTTGTTTAAGGGGGGGGGCTCCCTGTCAACCCTGAAGCTGACCTGACTGAGGCCATTTTGATACTTCAGTGTTGCCACACTAGAGCTGAGGGATAGGGAATATAGATAGCTGGAGTTTTGTAGCCACAACAAAATACTTTCTCCTGGAAACCAAGACATTCCCACTGATGGCCAGAGGGAAGTTGAGTGAAGTCACCAGGCAACTGGATGACACCTTGATTGGACAAGGTAACTGATTGTTTGGAAAGGGGAGGAAAACTTTTACTTTTAATTAGGTGAAAACCATGGGAACATTTAGAGTCAGTTTTCACCAGCCTATGCCTATATGATATGTCCAATAAAACTGATATTTGAGGAACCTGTTGCCTCAGAGTCCTGCCTCTAACCCTGACAGTGAATTAGAGAGAGATGATAGAGAAAAATCTTCCAAAGTTAAACAACCTGTGCTAGTTTGGGATGCTTTTGTGACAGAAATAGCTCTATGGTGACAAAATGTAATTTTCAAAATTAAGCAAGCTGTCATCGTTCCAGCAAACCTCCATTCCAATCAGTAACTCCGAACAAGCGATAATCTCAAAAGTACCTTTATTAGAATAGCACCTGACACATCTGTGGAATCTTGAAACTAAAAGTTTCCTGGACTTCCCACAATGTCCCAAACTACAATCCCTCCCCTTTTCTCCCATCATCACATCACATGGACCAATCACGATCTGTCCCAGTGTAAGATCCTTTTTCTTTGCTGTGCCACACTTAATAACTAAGAAATGGATTTTATTTTGTCTACTTAGAACTACTCAATTGAAACCACCCCCTCCCATTTTCTCAGGCTATGTGACAGTGTGGAATATGGCTTCCAAAGCTGGCAGGAAAAACTTCCGGTTTGTCGGCTTCGCAAGCGGCAGGGATTTGCGATACTGCGCGATCCCTGCCGTGCTAGCCATTTTTGGTGCTCCAACCCGGACGGGTCTGGAGCTGAGGCTGCCCTGCAGGGGTGGCTGAAGATAAGGGGGACCCGGAGTGAGGTTTGGGGTGCTGCAGACCCCTTCCCAGCCGGCAGCACCCCCTTTTCCCAAGACGGTGCAGCGGCGGTCTGCAATGGCCACCACAAAGAAGCTGGCAGCCGGGTAAGAATGCACAGGAGGAAGTGAAGAAAGCTTTTGAAAAGAGAAAGTTTTTCTTGGTTCCCAGGACTCTAAGATATATTTAACAAAATTCCTGGAAATTATGGCTTTCTGAATGATACCTTCTAGAAGAGAAAATAAGCGGCAATTTGGTGGTGCTGAAAGGAAAGTTTACTCTCCTTCCCTGCGGAATTAATAAGTGGATATTAAGAAACCTATTTTTTTAAAGTAAAAACTGGCTTTAAGTGATAAGTGAGAAGGGAGAGGACTAAAAAAATATTTGTATGCTAAGATTTTGTTGGAGGAGATGCCTTAAGGATTTGAAGACTGAAATATATTGCAATAAGACTTTAAGAAACAGATTTGGACTTTCTTTTTTTCTGATTGATACTACCCCAGGAAGAGAAAGTGAGAACTTTGCCTTGGCTTGGACTGATTGATAACTTTGGGATTGTTTTATTTTTTTTTTTTAAATATCTTGGTTGCTGTAAGAAGAAAGAAGGGGAAAAGAAAAGAAAAGATTTATAATGGCTTTTTCTGTTGAGGAACTGAGAAAAGAATATGAGCAAACAAAAAAAATGGTAAAGATGGTTTGAAAGAAGCCTTCCTTTTCTTAGAAATGGCGCTTGCTAACTATCAACAAACATTACAACAGATGAAGACAGCAGAAGAAGAAGAAGGAGAGGAAGAAGCCATCTTTAATGAATTTCAGAATTTAACCAAGAAAGAAGGAAGAGGGAAAGGAAGAGAAATGAAGGACTTAAGATTTAAAAAAACACTTAAGAAGGGGAAAAATAAGGTGCAAAATCAATATAATGATAGTAAACAAAAGGAGAAAGGAACACAACAGAGAAGGGAAGCCAGTAAGGCAGAGGTTAGAAGAAGGGGGGGTAGAAAGGTTTGGTGGGGGAAGAAAGGAAGGAAAATGGTGGAGAAAAGCCACAAAGTTTTGAAACTAGATGGGAAAAAAGGAATCTTTTTTAGGGATAAAGGGTAAAGTATAAATTCTTCAAAAAAGATTTTGCAAGGTACATAAGATGATATTGTAGCATTGTATTAGAAATAGAAAACTAAAATGGTTTAAGAGTTGATAAGAGAAAATGTTGAAATGTTTAGTAATGATTGATTTTAAAATTTAATAATATTAAAGGGAAGGTTTAGAATATTGAGTTTTAATTAAAGAGTTTAATAAGATTATGGTATTGATGTTATTATAAAATTTTTATTATAGCATTTGTTTTTGGAAAAGGCAATGGGAATGTTATAAGATTCAACATTTGGATTTACTGTTTAACTATGTATTTAATTATTTTGGATTTACTATTTAGATAGAACGTACCAAGCAGAATCGGATTGGGTATTGGGTGTTATTTTAAATGTTAATTTGATTAATTTAGAGGGAAGATAGAAAGGCATCATACTCTGATTAGTGATTTCAGGAGAAATTCTTTTTTTATTATTATAAGGAACGAGACAAAGGGACAATAAAGAATGGACAAAAGATACAAATATAATGACTCAAATTAAGATGGATTAATTAAGATAGAATTAAGAAGAGTGAAATGTGTGGAGAAGTTAATATAGAAGACTTAGAATGGTAAATAAAATAAGTAATGACATGTAAGATGAGCATGAATATAATTGAAGTCCATGAAGAGAGAGATATCTGGGGCCAAGTTACTTTCTTAAAAGATTTTTTTTTTATGTTCTGTGTGTTGTGTGTTTATGTTTCTGGGAGAATTAATAAAACCTTGCAGAAATATAGAATGAGAATAATGGTAACCAAGTCAGAAAGAAATAGATGAAATAATAATAATGAAATTGAATAAGAGTAAAGAGAAGTAAAGAGAAACTGGATAAGAGGCTTTTGTATGCTTATATGGAAATGGTTTAAAATAGAATTATAGTGTATAAAATAAGGTTTTATCTGACTTGTTAAATTTATAATGGAAAAAGGTTTAAGTGTGTAATGGTTAATGATGATTTGTTTGTTTCTGAAAAATTAATAAAACTTGTTTTTTTTTAAAAAAAAATAACAACTAAGAAATTGATTTTATTTTGTCTACTTAGAACTACTCAATTGAAACCACCCCTCCCATTTTCTCAGGCTATGTGACAGTGTGGAATATGGCTTCCAAAGCTGGCAGGCATCCCCCCTTGAGAAGTTCACCTCCTAAAAGAGATAATAAACAAAAGACAACCAGGGGTTAATGCAATACCCTTAACCCCCTCTCCCCCTCCAAACCCTTTGGTTTGTCAGGGAATTCGTTATGGAATTGGTTAACCAATCTATCTACATGTACATCCCAACTTTTTACCCACATAGCCTCTGACAAAAGGTAACCCTTCCATAATACCAAATACTGTAACATCCCTTGGTACAATCTAGAATCAAGGATTTTCTTAATTTCATAATGTGTCTCACCCTGTACGATCAAAGGTTTGGGGGGAGATGTTGGGAAGGGTCTTAGATTTGACCCTACAGCTGGTTTCAATAAACTACTATGGAACACTGAGTGTATTTTCCCCAATAGTCGGGGAAGACTTAATTGGACTGTGACTGGATTGATTATTTTTGATATAGGGAATGGACCTAAAAATTTATGGCCCAACTTCCTACTGGGAAGTTTCAATTTGAGATATTTAGTTGACAAAAACACTTTGTCCCCTACTTTAAATGGTGGTTGGGGGGATCTATGTTTATCTGCTTGCTTTTTATATTCCTCAGCAGCTTCAGTCAAAAAAAAATTTTTTTGTATCTTCCCAACCTTTTTTTTATGAGTCCATCCATTCCGTTAAAGACATGGATGTTGGGTGTTCCGTAGGTAATTCCGGCATAGGGACAAATTCCATGCCGGTGTTGATTTGGAACAGGGTCAAGCCTGGGCTGCTATGTACTGCGTTATTGTAAGCAACTTCTGTAAATGGCAACAGCTACGCCCAATTTTCCTGTTGATAATTTACATAGCATCTAATGATGGCATTCGCTCTCTCTGTTGCCCCATTGCATGCAGGATGGAACACTGAGGATAGCCCTTGGGATGACCCAATGGACTTTAAAAACTCCCTCCAGACCATAGCAGTAAACTGTATGCCTCAATCTGAGTTTTATAAGTTTTATAAGCTTTTTAGCTGAAGGTAGTCCTTTACAGGCTGTAAAGTGGACTTGCTTAGAGAATAAGTTGATAACAGTTCAAATAACTGTATTCCCTCCACTCTCAGGTAATTCTACAATAAAGACCATTGCGATTTCTTCCCACAGCTTTGTTGGTTCAGATATTTGTTGAAGGAGGCCAAGGGTTTTCCCAGTTCTGTGTTTCATTGTGGCACAAATTGAGAAGATTTTCACATAGTCTTCAATATCAGGTTTCATTTTTGGCCACCAGAACAGTTTTCTGACTAATTGCAGGGTTTTTAAGAAACCAAAGTGTCCCCCCAACTGTGAGTCATGGCTACGCTTTAGTACTATTAGTCTTACATTATTAGGTACATAAAGTTTTGTCCCTTTCCAAGCCAGTACTTCATTCATTGTCAAATCGGTTTGATACTCTGCAAACCAGGGATCAGTCAAAAGGGCTGCTTTCAACTCAGTTGTCAGTTTGTTTTTTAGGCATATGGGGCTGCGGTTGGCTTGGTCTTGGGTGGTTATTTGGCCTACTGTTTCGGCTTCTGATATCATAGTCTGCACTACTTCCTCTTGGCGATTGTCAAATTGGGGTTTTCTCGACACAAGCATCAGAATAGTCCAACAATCTTCAACCCTTTATTGTGATCACAAAGTCATCTAGTCTCCAAGCTAAGGAGTTCAGCTGGATTGTTTTTTCCGCATTAAAATTGGACTTTGCTGGCTAAAAGTTTGTAATATAGCAACAAGGTATAAATCAAAGCATCTTCTGGGGACAACCAAAGGTGCGTCCAATCATCTCCTGAACTAATGGATATGCTTCCATAGCTACTCTTTGAAAGAGATAACATCACTATGCAATTTTTGTTACATTCCTAGCCCAAAGTTAAACTCCGCTAACTTCATTTTGATCAGGACTGATGGTAAAATTGTATTCTCCATCTTCTCCCATGACAAGTTTTCCCATATCTGCAAATGGTCTTGCCTCAGATGGGCTGTGATGGTGAAGCTGCAAAACACAGAACATGAAACTTAGAATAATAGAATTTGAAAGGATCCCACAGGTTCCCTAGTCCAACCCACTAATCGAGCAGGGCACCCTATACCAGGGATCTTCAAACTTGACAGCTTTAAGACTTGTGGACTTCAATTCCCAGAATTCCTCCTCCAGTCATGTTAGCTCAGGAATTCTGGGAGTTGAAGTCCACAAGTCTTAAACTTGCCAAGTTTGAAGACCCTCGCCCTATACCATTTCAGTCAAATGGTTGCCCAGGTCTCTTTTTAAAAGCGTCCAGTGATGGAGCACTAACAACTTTGAAGGCAAGCTTGGTTGATTGCTCTCACTGTTAGGAAATTCCTATTTAGTCATACATTGCTTCTCTCCTTCGTTAATTTCCAACCATTGTTTCTTGTCTTGCCTAATAGTACTTTGGGAAATGTTGTGACACCCCTCAAATATTAGAAAAATGATCTCATGTCTCCCCAGTTCTTCTTTTCCTTAGATTAGACATAAGAAATTCCTGTAACTGTTCGTGGTATGTTTTATCCTCTAGCCCTCTAATCATTTCTTGTTGCTCATCTCTGCAGTCTTTCCAGAGTTTCAATATCTTTTTTATATTGTGTTGATGACCAGAACTGGATGCAGTATTCTAAATATGGCCTTAATAAGGTTTTGAAAAGCGTTATTAGAACTTCATGTGATCTTGATTCTATCACTCTGTTAATGCAGCCTAGGATTGCATTGGCATTTTTGTCTGCTGCCACATATTGTTGGCTCATATTTAAGTGATTGTCTACTAGGACTCCAAGACCCTTCTCACAATTACTGGCATTAAGCCAAGTTTCACATAGTCTGTAACCTATACTATTGGTTTTTCTTGCCTCAGTGAAAAACCTAACTTTTATCTATGCTGAATTTCATTTTGTTAGGTAGGGGCCCATGTTCAATTTGCCAAGATCTTTTTAGATCTTGAGCTTGTCTTGCTGCCAGCTTAGTGTCACCTGCAAATGTGATGAGTTCCCCTTCAATTCCCTCACCTAGATCCTTTTTGAAGACATTGAAGAGTGCTGGGCCAAAAATGGAAGCTTGGGATAACCCATGGCTTTCTTCACTCCATGTAAATAAGGTTCCTCAGAGGACTACATGTTGAATATAATTTGTCAGCCAGTTACAAAGCCACCTGATGGTGGTGTTATCTATTCCATGTTTTCAAGAACGTGAGATAAATATTTAACAAACAGCTGTAAATTCCTGGAGAATGACTGCAAGAAGCTGCCAATGAAATCTCTTTCAGACTGTAGTGATGATTTGAAGAGGTTGAATTATTCTGAGTACCTCCAATCCAGAATAAGAGCAAGAAAAACATTGAATAAAAGTTCAAATTGTAATAGCTTTTTCTGTGTTTCTGCAGCTTCATAAGTTCCTGAGGAACTTCCAACATCACAATATTTCCAGAGATGGGATTTCTTTTGATGAAAATGGAGTTCCTGTTAGTGACTTTGATATCATGCACTGGACATCAGTTTGGAACAAATCAGATGCAGGGGTGAAAATTGGGAGTGTAGAAAGAAAAGCCTCCTCAGAAGTCAAGATTTCTGTCAATCAAAGTGCCATCCAATGGCCAACTTTATTTAACAAAGTAGTTGAGGCTGCTTGGATTTTGCTCTTCTATTTATCTCCATATATGTAAATTTTCTGCTCAGAAATAATTCTTATTAAGGCCAATTGTGATAACTTCCAACTAAGAGAACTTAAAGCCTCATTAATTTATTAGATATATTTTACCTTAGAGGTCTTACAATAATCTGTCACACACTGGAACCTGCTGCATTGTATTGCGGAATTTGCAATATACATTATTGAACTGGAATATGTTGCCATAATTTATAGTACATGAAATTATCTTGTTTTAAGTAACAGAAACTCCAGAATGCCCATGGAGATTCTCAGTCATCCAGGTCACGGTTGTGCCAAAGTTTTTCTTTCAAAAGGCACCTGGACTTTGTTTTCCCTTGAAAACGTTTCACTTCTCATCCAAGAAACTTCTTCAGTTCTGACTGAATGGTGGAGGATGGAAGGATTTGGAACTGCTGAAAACAATGTGTTGCAAACAGGATATAGATTCAGCAATTCCAGGAAGGTTCCACACCCATTTGCACTATTCAAATGACTCTGAGGGCACAGATAAATTCCAAGAGGCCTCAAAAACTTTCAGAAAGGCTGCTAACGACCAGATGACTTGCAAGGAATATAAACACTGCCATACTCCACCATTCTGTCAGAACTGAAGAAGCCTCTGGAATGGGAAGAGAAATGTCTTCAAGGGAAAACAAAGATCAGTTTTCTTTTGGAAAAGCACCTTTGGGAGAAAATCCAGAAAAGAAGGGTTTAGCACACTAAATTGCATAAGAGGAAGATACCATTAAGAATGTGGTGAATGAGAACAATGGTAACTAAGTCAGAAAGAAGTAGATGAAATAATAATAATAAAATTGAATAAGAGTAAAGAGAAATAAAGGGAAATTGGATAAGAGGTTTTTGGTATGTTTATATGGAAATGGTTTAAAACAGAATTATAGCTTATCTGACTTGTTAAATTTATAATGGAAAAAGGTTTAAACGTGTAATGGATAATGATGACTTGTGTGTTTTGAAAATCAATAAAACTTGTTTAAAAAAAAAGAATGTGGTGAGGGAAATGAGGGCAGCTAAAAAAAGTCATTTACATATGATGATACAATGATCGGTTGTAGGACATAAAGATAGGGACTCTAGAGAAAGCTAGATTTTGGAGGTTTCCTGAGAAGGCTAAGATGGAGAAACAATATATACAAGTTATTGCATTCTCATACATGCTCTAAGGAGAAACACCTTTTGCAATGGAACTTCTTTCCTTTGGAAAGGAGAATAAGGCAAAGAATCTTTTTTGGGATCTAAAATGGAGATTGATAGAGGAAAGAGAATGACCCTTCATTTGTCCCTTGCAAGAACAGTAATTAAAGTTCATGCCACTACTTCTTGACTGATTTGCTCAATGTGATCCTGACTTTTGGAAGCCAGTTGATTTCAGTAAACCCTTCTAATTCATACTAATTTTTCAGTTTATGTTTAAAGGTAAAGGTTCCTTTGCATATACGTGCTAATCATTTCCAGCTCTAAGGGGTGGTGCTCATCTCCATTTCAAAGCTGAAGAGCCAACACTGTCCAAAGACATCTCCATGGTTTTGTGGCCAGCATGACTAAACACTGAGGGCACGTGGAATGCTATTAGTTTCCAACCAAAGTGGGCCCTATTTTTCTACTTGCATTTTTACATGCTTTCAAACTGCTGTTGGCAGAAGCTGGGACAAGGAACGGGAGCTCACTCCGTTACATGATCCTAGGGATTTAAACCGCCAAACTGCCAAACTTCTGATAGACAAGCTCAGCGTCTTAGCCACTGAGCCACCACATCCTTTTATATATTGCCTCTAATTCATATATTGCCCTGATTAATCTTTTGGTTTATGTTTAGATGGTGCCTTATTCAAGATGTACAGAAAGTTGCTCCCCAGGTTATGCCATGCTTGTGAGAAAGGGAGCCCCAGTTTGCTGCTACAACTGTTCTCTGTGTATGGAAGGAACATTCTCTGGGCAAGAAGGTACAGTTAGTGGCTTCAAAAACAACAAGCATACAATCAAAATTCTCTATTGCTTTTTTTGGGTATATGATCAAGAAGCAAGAAAAAACATTACACATCTTGAAGGCATCCACAAGCATTTCAAAGTTGGAGCACTATCACCGAATTTTGTACGATGATGCGAGCATTAAAATAATCTATTGAGGTGTTACTTTCTTGCTTGGTTTGGGAAAGAGGACAAGTTTTGAGAGCTGATAATCACATTCATCAAAAAGGCTGTTGATTATTTTAACTAACATTGTATCATATGAATATCCCTGGGCAGAAATACCTTGAAAATAAAGTAATTGATTTCTGATGAGGTTTTCATGCTCCTACAGCAGCAGAAAGAGATACATGCTAACCATTTTTTTCCAGATGCAGCCCATTGTGAAAAGTGTCCAGATGACCAGTATTCCAATAAGAAGAGGGATCAGTGCATCCCCAAAAGCATAAGCTTCTTATCCTATGAAGAATCATTGGGATTCATCCTGGCATTCTTTGCCATTGCTTTGTCCCTAACCACCGCCTTTATTCTGGGAATCTTCATTAAATACCGAGACACTCCCATAGTCAAAGCAAACAACCGTGAACTTACCTACGTCCTCCTGGTTTCACTCCTGTTTTCTTTCTTGACCTCCTTTCTATTCATCGGTCGCCCCATGAAAATGACCTGTCTCCTTCGACAAACCATTTTCAGTATTGTTTTCTCTGTTGCCGTATCTTCTTTGCTGGCCAAGACTGTAATGGTGGTGGTGGCCTTCCTGGCTACAAAGCCAGGAAGCAGGATGAGGAAATGGCTGGGGAAGGGTCTGGCCCACTTGATTGTTTTATCCTGCTCTGGTATTCAAGTAGGCATCTGTATGGCATGGCTGGGAATCTTTCCCTCGTTCCCAGATTCTGACTTTCATTCCCAGCCAGAAGACATCCTGCTGCAGTGCAACGAAGGTTCAGTTGCTATGTTCTACACTGCCCTTGGCTACATGGGTTTTCTGGGTGCCATCTGTTTCTTGGCGGCATTTCTGGCTCGAAATCTGCCAGGGACCTTCAATGAAGCCAAACTGATCACCTTCAGCATGTTGGTTTTTTGTAGTGTATGGATCTCCTTTGTCCCCACCTACCTGAGCACCAAAGGGAAATACATGGTGGCTGTGCAGATCTTCTCCATCTTGGCCTCCAGCCTAGGTTTATTGGGTTGTATTTTTGTTCCCAAGTGCTACATTATTACACTGAGACCTGACATAAACACCAAGGAACATCTGATGATGAAATCTCATTAAGGCTCCTTGTGTTGGTGTTTATTTTTGTTCAGTTTACATCCAGTATAAAATCACATATCTTGAAGTAATGTTTTATGTATTCTCACTTATTCTTCTTCATTCTGTGTGCATTTTGAATTATAATAATTGAGTAGTAATGTTGCTAAAACAATTCAAACTATTTCAATTAATCATATCTTTCAATTGTCACAATCTGAATTCATGTTAAATCATAACTATCATCAATGACATTAATAACATTTCTGAAACCAGGCTGGATAAACTGTTACCAGAGATGTTCTGATATGGTTTTAGACTAAATTAAAGATTATGGCTAATAATGTGTGTTTTTGTTGCTATATAGGTTGGTGTTATGTTTCGTTTTCAGGGATGATGTTTTTTGTTTATTTTGTGAAGCAATTATAAGATAACAGGTATAACTATAAACATACTTATGAATAACTGAAATGGATACGAATAAGGAAAAAAAAGAAAAAATAAGACAGGGAAGGTAGGCGCATTGGTGCATTTATGCACGCCCCCTACAGACCTCTTAGGAAAGGGGTGAGGTCAATAGTAGACAGTCTTAGGTTAAAGTTTTTGGGGTTTGGGGAAGAAACCAAAGAGTCAGGTAGAGTATTCCAGACATTGACCACTCTGTTGCTGAAGTCATATTTTCTGCAATCAAGTTTGGTGTGGTTTACCTTGAGTTTGTGTCTATTGTTTGCTCTTGTATTGTTATTGTTGCGTTCTGAAAAGACTGAGCTGAAGTCTTCACTCCGGTCCATGCTTCCCATGGGAATACGGACTGTTCCTATTGGCTGATGCGTTTCACAGCTGACTATAAAAGGGAGCTGTCAAATGGCACCAGCTGTTTCCTGCGAGCTGGCTGCCTTGTTAGCGGCAACCATTTATTGTTTCAATAAAGTTAAAGCTGAAGTTTGCTCCATGTTCACCTCAGTTATTCTGCCACTCCACAACACTGGCGATGAGGGTGGGATACATATAAGAGCAAAGAATCACTGAGCGAAGTCACTAAAAAATAGCCAAAGCCACTACCGAGCTGTATGTCACTTTAAGAGCTTACTGTCACTGTTCGTGAGCTCGAATTTCAACTTTCCTCAGAAGAACCGCCACCGCTGAGACAAGATGACTTCAAACCCTGCATTCCCGCCTTTCAGACTGACAGCAGAGACATGGGAGTCCTACAGAAACTGATTTGACTGTTTCCTAGATGCCATAGACCTCGCTGACATTTCTAACCATAGGAAAAAATCTTACATTTTAAGTTTTTGCAGAGCCACAGTGTTTGACACTGCTACAGCATTGCTGGCTCCGTGTTCAATTAAGACTGTTCCATGGGAACAATTGCAGGAATTTTTTTCTAACCATTATTCCTCTGAGCCCTCCCGAATTGCCAGGTGTCATGCTTTTAGGAGATGGACCCAGGCTGAGGGAGGGACTATTAGTGGGTATATGGCAGCTTTATGAACAGCTGCCTTGCACTGTGGGTTTAGAGACTATCTGGAGGACATGTTATTAGATCAACTAGTTTGTGGAGTCCGGGACTTAAGGCTACAAAGGCGTCTATTGGCTAAAGGGGATTTGACCCTAAAATTAGCAATAGAGGAATCTCAAGCTGCAGAGCTGTCAGCATTTTCAACAGGAGGAATTCAGGGAAATCCAGTCAGTCAGAACAGCTCAGCCATTCATTACGATGAAGCCTCCACAGAGGAGGGCTCTGAAGAAACTAGTTATATAAATCGCCTCAGGCAGTCCAAAACCAGTCAGAGGTTAAACAGGTCAGTTCCCAGTCAACCTCCATGATCTCAACCCATCTGTCTAAGCTGTGGAGGAAATCACCTTAGGGCATCCTGCAAGTTCAGGAATGCCATTTGTCTAAAATGCAAGAGAAAGGGTTATTTAGCCAGAATCTGTCAGGCAGGAAAGACTTTTGCCCAACCACAGAAACCTCAGACAACTCAGCATTTTCAAAAACAAATTGAAGACTGTTTCACCTGCTACCATGCCAAGCTGACAATCAAAGGCTCTAAATAAATCAGTGTTATTATTTCTTTAGAAGGGAAACATTGCAGGATGCAGGTAGACACCGGCTCAGCACTGTCCATCATCTTGTGGAGCACATTGAAATGACTGCTCCCCAGGATGGCAAAGAAGAGTCTTCAAGGCTGCAACTTAACCCTACATGACTACCAAGGCAGAACCATCCCAGTCATCTGAAAAAGGCAAGTTTTTTATTCAATTTCAAAATTTGAACGGTCACTTGCCTTTAGTGGTAGTGGATGGTGCTCTCCCAAGCCTGTTGGGGTTAGACTGATTCTCTGCCCTTGGCCTTCATATAGGCGGAATCCACTCTATTGCAAATTCAGAGGTGGACGCCTTGTTCAATGACTATGCTGATGTGTTCAGCAAAGGCCTAGGCTGTTATTTGGGAACCCCAATTTCTTTAAACTTGGACCCTCTAGCAGTTCCAATTCGTTTAAATCCTTGAAGAGTACCTTTTGCCATCCATCCTAAGCTGGACAAGGAACTAGACAAATTAATTAAACAGGGCATATTAGACCTTGTGGCCTTCACAAAAAGGGAAACCCCAATAGTGACACCTTTGAAGAAAGATTGCAGTTTAAGAATTTGTGCTGATTACAAGTGCTTGTTAAAGAAATATTTACAAATCAGCGCTTATCCAGTCCCAATTATTCAGCACCTGCTGCATTCTTTTGAGCCAGGAACCATTTTCATGAAACTAGACATATCACAAGCCTATCAACAGTTCCCTGTTGATGACACAGCCTCAGAGCTACAAACTATTGTAATGCACAGGGGCGCTTTTAAGTGTAGGCGCCTCCAATTTGGTGTTAGTGTAGCCCCAGGGATTTTCCAATCATTAATGGAAAGACTGTTTCAAGGGTTATCTGGCGTAATACCTTATTTCAATGACATTTTAATATCTGCCCCTGACAAGCCACAGTTACTGCAAAGAGTCAGAGGTGTCCTCAAGTGTTTCAGAAAGTCGGGTCTCAAATTGAAAAAAGGGAAATGCACTATTGCCACCCCACAGGTCGAATTTTTGGGGTACAGAATTGACGCCTGTGGCATTCACCCAATCAAATTCAAAGTAAGGGCTATTCACAAGGAACCCACACCAACTAACAAAACTGAACTTCAGGATTTTTGGGGGCTCCTTAACTTCTATGCTTCATTTTTGCCACATAAGGCTTCCATTGCAGAACCTCTGCATAGACTCCTGGACAAACAATCCCCGTGGCATTGGGGACGTAAGGAAGCCTATGCTTTCAAAGCAGTCAAATCATTACTTACATCTGATGCTGTTCTAATTCAATTCAACAAAAATTTGCCTTGAGTCTTAGTTGCAGACGCATCACCTTTTGGCATTGGAGCCATTTTAAGTCACAGACTGCCTAATGGTTCTGAGGCACCCATTTCCTTTTTCTCCAGAACGTTATCTCCAGCTAAGCTCAACTACAGTCAAATTGACAAAGAGGCTTAGGATGCAGTTGCTTCAGTCAAGAAGTTCCATTTCAACACCATTTTGAGTTAGTTACAGATCATAAGTCTCTTTTGGGTCTTCTGTCAGGCAACAGACAAATGCCTCAGTTTTTGTCTCCAAGAATGACCAGGTGGACATTATTTCTGGCCGCATATTCCTGTTCATCGAGCAGGCAAAAGCCTCAGTCATGTTGATGCCCTTAGTCGCTGCCCCCTGCCTGTTCCAGTTGAGGATCCTGCACCAACCAATGCTGTGTTCCTAATCAATGACCTCAAGCTTCCCATCACCATCTCTGATATTGCTGCCCACTCTGCCAAGGACAAGGTAATTTCCCAAGACCTTGACTGGGTGGGAAGGGGGTGGCCTATACTCCCTTATTCTTCCAAATTCGTGCCTTTCAAAATTCGCCAGCAAGAATTGTCTTCTTTGCAAGGCTGCTTTATTTGGGGACCAGGGTAGTGCAGACCTTCCCAGTGGCAGACCTCAGCTGTAGAAGTCCTTCATGAGGGTCACCCTGGCATTGTCAGGATGAAGGCTCTAGCTCGCAGTTACGTATGGTGGCCGGGCATGGATGCTCAGATTACTAGCTGGGTGAATGCTTGTCAGCCATGCCAGGCCACCAGACCTTCTCCACCAGCATCCTCTCCAGGAACATGGGAAGATTCAGGGGGCCCCTTGTCCAGGGTGCATATTGATCTGGCTGGCCCTTTTCATGGGTGAACATTCTTAGTGATGGTTGATTCTTTTTCTAAATGGGTAGAGCTGACTTTAATGACCTCCACAACTTCAGAAGCTGTCATTAAGGCCCTGATGAGAATATTCACCACCCATGGCCTCATTGACACCATTGTGTCTGATAACGGTCCCCAGTTTACTTCCTGTGAATTTGAGGTTTTCCTCAAGGAATCAGACATGCCCTAACAGCTCCTTTTCACCCTGCCAGTAATGGTCTGGCTGAAAGGGCAGTCAGATCTGCTAAGGATGTCCTGGAGATGCTTGGGCCCATAGATTGGCACTCCAGACTTGCTAAGTACCTGCTAACCCAGCATACGACTCCCTGTGCCACAACAAATAGGTCTCCAGCTGAACTCCTCATGGGTCGCCATCTGAGGACTGCTCTAGACAGACTCCATCCAAATTACACCCCAGTCACACCCCTGGGATCAAATAGCCAGACTAGGAAGTTTGCTGAGAATGACCAGGTCTATGCTAGGAACTATGCGGGTCACCCTTTGTGGATGCCGGGGTGGATTGTGGCAGTAACCGGTCCTAAGTCTTACAAGGTCCAATTGCAAGACGGTCGCATTTGACGCCACCATGTCGACCAACTTGGGTACGTCTACAGGTGGCCCTCTGGATGTTCTTGCTGCAGCGAGACCACCAGCACCCAAGGAAGCTCACCATGAAAATGAAAGCGATGTGAGCCTACCTAAATAGTCATCGGTTCTGCACCTGGGGCTGTCTGAAGCCG